CAAAATACTTATGGTTATTTGAAATACTTATGACTATTCAAAATACTTATGACTATTTGAAATACTTATGACTATTTGAAACATTTACAACTATTTGAAATACTTATGGTTATTCGAAAGACTTATGACTATTCAAAATACTTATGATTATTTGAAATACTTATAACTATTCAAAATACTTATGATTATTTGAAATACTTATGACTATTCAAAATACTTATGGTTATTTGAAACATTTACAACTATTCGAAATACTTATAATCATTCAAAATACTTATGACTATTCAAAATACTTATGGTTATTTGAAATACTTATGGTTATTCAAAATACTTATGATTATTCAAAATACTTATGATTATTCGAAATACCATCCATTACCAAAAATCATCTGATGTATTTCGAATATTCAAAATTCTTTTTAGACATTTGATTATTTGAAAAGGGGGTTAATGATCAGAAACACTACCATTAACAACCCTATCTGATTCCTATAATTAAAGTTTGTATGCTAATACTAATGCATATTTGTACAGTACTACATACTTCTGTTGGTTTTAATATATAATTATCTAATGTAAGGTCAGGTCTACAAGCCAATTAATTAACAATTGTTGATAGGCCACTGACAATTTTACTGGCTTTTGGCCATCTCTTGGTTTTTTTGTACAAATTTCATTTTTATAATATTGATCTTACAATTTCATTATAATTTCCTCCTTCATATGCCAATGCATTATAACTAACAAATGAACCCTCATTACTCACAGAATGGTATCTTCAAGATTCATTTTTCGAAACATAAATTTTATTTTATTTACAAAAAAAAATTATTTTTACTTTTTAATGCAATACAACACATAAAATAAAATCTTTTCAAGGACTTATCACAACTACACTAAATTTTGATCCCTGAAATCCTTGATAACACCAATGTTCACTTTGTCTGGTTTTGTTGCAGAATGCCCCATATTAAAAAATTAATAAAAATCTTTTTGCTTTGGTGATTATTTGCAAATATGGTACAATGATTTCATCACACATATTAATGTTTAGGTTAAAAAAGGTTAATTCATAATCTTTGAAACATCTGCAAAAATTTTCATAACAAAATTTGGCACAAAATTTTGCAGATCACTAATTAAAATTTTCTGGACTCCAACTTTCACCCCCAACGTAACCACCCTTTATGTTGATATAAACTAAAATTGTACTTTTAACACATGATATG